ATAAAAGAACGTAAACGAACATAAACCACAACAACAATAATCACATAAAATTCGTTAGTATAAATTGCAACTTCATAATTAATTTGTATTTAATATTTTTGGGCTTTTTTATTTGTATTTATAATTAGTTGAATTTTAAAATATTAATGGGTATCAAATTAAAATTTATCGGGTCTTAATATTTTAAATAGGTCTGGAAAGATTGGGCTAAACATAAACGAACGAAAGTAAATGAATATAAACGAACATAAACGAATGAACATATTATTGAACGTTCACAAACGTAAATGAACGAACGAGCCATCTGTTCGTGTTCGTTCATTTAATTAAACGAACACAAAATCTTGTTCATTTTCGTTCGTTTAATAGATAAATGAATTTCTCGCGAATAGTTCACGAATGGTTCGCTGAACGTTCGGTTCGTTTACATGACTATTTTAAACCGTAAAAAAGTATTTAGTATTTAAGTTTAATTATTTTAATATATAATGATATGATACTTTAATAATGAATAAATTATATATATTAAAATTTTCTATCAATTGATGAAATCTACAATTGAGTTTAAGGTAGATAGAGGGTTTAGCTTTGATTTGAAGGCGTAAACCCAACAGCACCCAATCAATTGATATAATATTTAATGATTTAATTTTCTTAGATATTTGATCCTAATTTCGAAGTGTCGATGATGACTGATAGATGTGCTCGAAAAGGATTGCTCTTTGGACTCCAGGTAACCAAAGTGCCCATGTTCATTGTTCTGTAAGGAGAGAAAAGTGGCGTCACTTCCGCAAACGTGTTATGCTGTAGCAAATCCTTGGCATGTTCTTCCTTGTTTTATATTTTAACCATCTTCTTTATTGTCCTTAAAAATATCTCTCTTGGTTCCCTGCCAGAAAATAGAAATCCACTTACAGCCACCGACAACATGGGGAACCCATGGCTGAAACTTACCGTACTGTTGGTTATGTGGTTTTCCCTCGGTTGCCAACTCTCCTTGGGAGCAGACACCATCTCAGCAAATCAGTCTCTGTCCGGTAATCAAACCATTGTCTCATCGGGCGGACACTTCGTGTTGGGTTTCTTCACACCAGGTAAATCTTCCAACTATTACATAGGCATATGGTACCGAAAGGTGTCCGAACAGACCCCAGTTTGGGTCGCAAACAGAGAGACACCGGTCCGGGATATCTACTCTTCTGAGCTAAAAATATCCGATGGCAACTTAGTTTTGTTCAACGGATCCCAAATTGCAATTTGGTCCACAAATATAAGCTCGACCAGCTCGGGCTCTGTGGTGGCAGTTCTTGAAGATAGTGGGAATCTTGTTTTACGAGATGGTCCCAATTCATCGGCGCCGTTGTGGCAAAGCTTGGATCATCCCACACACACATGGCTTCCAGGTGGTAAACTTATGTTAAACAAACGAACCAATCAAAGCCAGCTTCTTACTTCATGGAAGAATTCAGAAGATCCTGCGCCGGGTCTTTTTTCTCTGGAGCTAGATCCGTCGGGGACCAATTCATATATCATTCTGTGGAACAGAACCAGGCGGTACTGGACGAGTGGGGCTTGGGATCCCCAGTCGAAAATTTTTAGCTTAGTTCCGGAAATGAGATTGAATTATATCTACAACTTCAGCTTTTATTCGGACGAAAACCAGAGTTATTTTACTTATTCTCTTTATAATCCCGAGACCATATCTCGGTTCATTATGGATTACTCGGGGCAGATTAAGCAACTGTCGTGGTTGGAAAGTAGCCAGCAGTGGAACTTGTTTTGGTCACAACCGAGACAACAATGCCAGGTTTATGCTTTTTGTGGGGCTTTCGGCAGCTGCACTGAAGGAGGCCTACCTTTCTGTAGTTGTTTGAGAGGTTTCGTTCCGAAATCGAATGTCAATTGGAATCTGAGCGATTTTTCTGATGGATGTGAAAGGACAACCAGGCTGCAATGCGAAGAAGATCCCGGCCTTGCTACTGGAAAGACCGATAAATTCCAGGAAAGCCCCAATGTAAAGTTGCCTCAAAATGCTCGGTCTATGAGCGTTGGGAGCATTTCAGAATGCGAATCGACTTGTCTTGAGTATTGCAATTGCACTGCTTATGCTTATGATAGTGATGGTTGTAGAATTTGGATGACAGAACTCTTGGATCTGCAACAATATTCGGAGGATACCAGCGATGGCAAGACTATATACATCCGATTAGCGGCATCTGAGTTTCCGAGTTCCAGCAACAACAATAGGATAATTATTGGAGCTGTTGCAGGGTCAGTTGGTTTAATCCTATGCCTTGTAATATTTGCAGTCTTTAGATGGAGGAGGCAGAGGATGATAAATCCGAAAGTCGAAGGTTCACTTTTGGCTTTCGGATATAGGGATTTACAGAATGCAACGAAGAATTTTTCTGAAAAGCTCGGGGAAGGAGGATTCGGTTTTGTTTTCAAAGGAACGTTGCTGGACTCGAGTATCATAGCTGTGAAGCAGCTTAAGAGCATCAGTCAGGGAGAGAAGCAATTTCGTTCGGAGGTCAGCACGATCGGGATGGTTCAACATGTTAATCTAGTGCGGCTTCGGGGTTTCTGCTCTGAAGGTATGCGGAAGTTGTTGGTATACGATTACATGCCAAATGGTTCTTTGGATGCCCATCTTTTCCAGCAAGAGAATTCTGAAGCTCTAGCTTGGAAAACAAGGTACCAGATTGCACTCGGTACGGCTAGAGGCTTAACTTATCTTCACGAGAAATGCAGAGATTGTATTATTCACTGTGACATCAAACCAGAGAACATTCTTTTGGATGCCGAATTCTGTTCCAAAGTCGCAGATTTCGGCCTGGCAAAGCTTATCGGGCGGGATTTCAGTAGGGTCCTGACAACTATGAGAGGGACAAGGGGATATCTTGCACCAGAGTGGATTTCAGGAGTCGCTGTTACAGCTAAAGCCGATGTCTACAGCTACGGGATGATGCTGTTTGAGATTGTTTCGGGAAGAAGAAACTCCGGACAACATGAAGACGGAAAGGTTAGATTCTTTCCAACTTCGGTAGCTCGCGTAATAACCCAAGACGGTGATGTCCTTAGCCTGTTAGACACCCAATTGAACGGAGATGCTCCTGTGGAGGAGGTATCAAGAATATGTAAAGTGGCTTGCTGGTGTATCCAAGATGATGAAACTCAGAGGCCATCAATGGGTCAGGTGGTTCAGATCCTAGAGGGTGTTTTGGATGTGAACGTGCCTCCGGTTCCGAGGTCTCTAAACGTGTTCGCAGACAACTCGGAGCATATAATCTTCTTCACAGAGTCATCTGCAAGCCAGAGTTCACAGACACGGAGCAACACTTCAAATGTGTCTTCTCAGGCTAAGAGCAACACATCATCAATGAGTTCATGAATCTCGAACAGCATCGTCTTCGAAATAAGTTAAGGTAGTTTGGTTTCATCATGTTAATATGTAAAAATTTAAAGCTGTTTTTGCATCAGTTTCCTGATACGCAAGCCACTGTTTATTAGTAGCTGCCTTCTTAATAGAGATTGGAGCATGGTGCTTGCATAAGTTGAGCGAAGCGTGACTTCATAGGATGAGAGAAATGTAAATTATGGTACCATTTTCAGAGTAAATATTATTTTATTTTTAATAATTAAATAGTAGAAAATTATTCCAATGTTGGAGTTTGGTGCATCACTGGCCTTATCATCGTTTAAGTTCAGATGAGCTCTTGCTCTGCAATGTCCTGCAAGAAAAATGAACAGAACAAACTTGTTACATGATTGACAATTTGGCTTATGCCAATCAACGTCAATTGATGAATGGCAATTGAAACTGAAGATGGAAATAACTGGATGACACTCTTCTCTATCGTATGTTAGAACATGTGGTCAGTTTTCTTTTCTGTTTCAGTTTGCCTGCAAATTCGATCCTTTTATATTGTATTTTGCTGTCAATTATCTCGATCGGTTCTTATCAAGCCAAGCAATGTCGGTAAAATATTCTTAGCCTCGTTAGTGCTATTGGTTAACACCATTTGCTGCAAATGCAACACTAACAAAGATGATTATCAACCTTGATGTTAGCTGCAGCAAGCCAAGGCATGGGTTTTACGACTTATTGCTTGGTCAAACAAAGAGAATAAGAGAGAGAGAATTTTGATTTTCAGGGTTTTCAATTAATTTTGGGTGAGATAAATTTTTTAGTATGCTGAAATGGGTTAAAAAGATATTTTATTAAGATGAAAATAACAGCACCATGTCAGTAACCTTACTGGAAATGAACTAAAAGTTTGATGATTGTATTGCAAGTTTTAAAAGTTGAGTGACTGAAATACAAGCATCCTAAAAATTTGAGAATTATTTATGTAATTTACCCTAAATACAACAGTCTACGCTATTTTAAATTTAATTTCTCATTGGCTCGTATGTCAACATTTCGATTCTGTTGATCAAAAGACTAAATTGATTCAGTTTCTCAATTTAAAGATTATATTAAATACAAAATAAATTTAAGGGTCATATTGTTTTTTCCCCCAAAATATATGAGGGACTTATATACCATTATGCCTAATTCTATTATAAAAAGAAAGGATAATTTCTTATCTTTCTTATTTTTAAAATCTATACCAACGACTAAAAGCTAGCCGATAGTGAATTTGGGTGCAAGCAAACCAAAAGGAAAAGATATTGACATCAAGATTTTCTATTGGGTTTGGTGAGGTCGATCTTTCACTTTTAGCTTATTGTTTAAGCTAATTTCATTGATCATAAGTTGGGTTTTGACCTGGTAAGCTCAATTTACTGAATTTCTTTAGAATCTTTTGTGCGCGTCTATAATGTTGGATTAATTTTAGTGCTAAAATAATTTAAACAAGAATTTGGTCATTGTTTCAGTCATATATTGATATAGTCATCAAAAGTTTGATGATTTGAGTAAGAGAAACATGTATTTAATAATACGAAATCATTCTATCCCTTTTTTTATTTTATTTTATTCAATTTTCCGTAATGAGACCGCTGCTGGAGTTTACTTGAGAATTGCTGATCTTACTTTTAACCTGCAGCTGCAATGATTTTTTCACAGGTATATCATATGTTCTTCATTTAAGATTGCTGTTACAATAGCTACCGAGAAAGATAACACTTAATTCAAGTACTCTGAATTATCTTGCAGTTGTAGCCATGAAGAAGGAGAACATCAGTCCCAGCTGTTTCCTGTTTTCAGTGTTGTTCTTGTTCATGTGTTTTTCTCTTGAATCCCATGTCTGCTTTGCAGTTGATACCATCTCCTCCGACCAATCTCTTTCTGGTAACCAAACAGTTGTCTCTTCTGGCGGAGTCTTCGAGCTTGGTTTCTTCAGACCAGGAAATTCCTCCAACTATTACATAGGGATGTGGTACAGGAAGGTCTCCCAACTCAGTATAGTTTGGGTTGCAAACAGAGAAAAACCAGTCCATGACATAAATTCATCAGTTTTGAAAATCTCTGATGGTAACTTGGTTCTGTCGAACGGGTCCCGAGTGCCAATTTGGTCTACATATGTAAGCTCAGGCTCAGTCATCTCTAACTCTGCAGTAGCAGTGCTTTTAGACGATGGGAACCTTGTTTTGCGAGACGGGCTCAATTCGTCGACCATACTGTGGCAAAGTTTTGATCACCCTGCAGACACTTGGCTCCCGGGTAGTAAGCTTAGATTTGATAAACGAACCAATCAAAGCCAAAGTATTATTTCATGGAAAAGTCTTGATGATCCTGCACCAGGTCTCTTCTCTTTTGAGATTGATCCATTTCAAACTAATCAAATTGTTACAGTATGGAACAGGTCACAAACTTACTGGTTCAGTGGAACTTGGGATCAACAGACAATGAGCTTCAGCTTAGTTCCGGAGATGAGAATGGTGGCGCTGTCGAGTTTGGCCTTCAACTTCAGCTATGTTTCGGAAGAGAATGAGAGCTATTTCATTTATTATTATTATAATTCTTCTACTATAGCTAAATATTTCATGGATTCCTCGGGGCAGATGAAGGAAATGACATGGTTGGAAAACATAAAGCAGTGGACTGTGTTTTATTCACAACCAAGACAGCAATGCGAGGTATATGGGTTTTGTGGGGCTTTTGGCAGCTGCAATGAGAATCAGCCGTTTTGTAACTGTTTGAATGGCTTTCAGCCCACTTCTCCACAGAATTGGGATCAGGAGGTTTATTCAGGAGGGTGTGCAAGGAAGACCAAACTGGGATGTGACAATCATAGTGTGGGTACTGGAAAGGGGGACCAATTTTTAGAAAGCCGCTATACAAATTTACCTACAAATCCACAAAATACGATGGCAGTTACCAGCATGGAATGCAAGGCAACCTGTATACAGAATTGCTCTTGTACTGCCTATGCTTTCGAGAACAATCAGTGCTCAATTTGGATAGGAGATCTCTTCAATCTGAAACAACTTGAACAAGATGATATTACGGGAAAACTTCTGTATATCAAATTGGCGGCTTCTGAGATTGATAGTGAATCTAGTCCCACAAATAAGAGGAGGGTGATTGTCATTCCAATTGCGGTTTCAACAGGGCTACTCCTATTAGGCCTTATGATGTTCATAATCATGAAGCGGAGGAGAACAATTATCAGTCCAAAATCAGCAAAAGGTTCACTTGTGGCTTTTGAATACAGAGATTTAGAGAAGGCAACCAAGAATTTCTCTGAGAAATTGGGAAAAGGAGGCTTTGGTTTTGTTTTCAAGGGAACACTGCCAGATGGAAGTATTATAGCTGTTAAGAAGCTTGAGAGCATCAACCAGGGAGAGAAACAATTCCGTACAGAGGTCAGTATAATTGGAAAGATCAATCATGTTAATCTGGTCCGTCTCCGAGGGTTTTGCTCAGAGGGTTCAAGAAAATTGTTGGTATATGATTACGTCTCAAAAGGATCGTTGGACAGACATCTTTTCCATGGATTAGCTTCAGAACCTTTAGACTGGAAAACAAGATATCAAATTTCTCTGGGTGTAGCAAGAGGCCTTGCTTATCTCCATGAGAATTGTGTAGACAGTATCATTCACTGTGACATCAAGCCAGAAAACATTCTTTTAGATGTTGATAATTTTCCAAAACTGGCGGATTTTGGGCTAGCAAAGCTTCTAGGACGCGAGTTCAGTCGAGTCCTGACTACCATGAGAGGAACAGTGGGTTATCTAGCACCAGAGTGGATTTCAGGAGTGGCCATAACACCCAAAGCTGATGTATACAGCTACGGAATGATGCTTTTGGAACTTGTATCAGGAATGAGAAACTTTGAGCCCGCAAATGACAAAGAAGGAACGTTCTTTCCAGTTTGGGCTGCTAGACAAGTGAGTGAAGGCGTGAATGTCCTCAACCTCCTTGACGATAGACTACATGGAAATGTGGATTTAGAAGAGGTGTGTAGGATTTGTAAAGTAGCTTGTTGGTGTATCCAGGAGAATGAAATCCAGAGGCCATCAATGGGTCAGGTAGTACAGATTTTGGAAGGATTTTTCGATGTAAGCATTCCCCCGATGCCACGATTTCTACAAGAAATTGGTAATGACCGGAGCACATATATTTCTTCACCGACATAAACACAAGCGTCAGTCCAAAGGCACATGCCAAGCTTTAGCCGTTGCTACTCCGACTAAGACCCTTTCACCCCGGAATGAGTTCTCAAGGTATAGAAAGGATATGATAAAATCTCATGTAGCATGTCTAGGTTTAGCAATAAATAGCTTAGGTCTAGTTTTACCTTGTTTCTTTGACCCTTTGATTCCTAAGTTATTGGTACATATTTCAATTTCTAATTGTATAGACTTATTGACAATTAGCAGATGCGATCATGGTTTCAGATAAAACAATGAGTTATGTGGTTTTACTGGTTAGCACTATCCATAGTTCTATGATCCATATCGATAATATGAATTTAAGCCTCGACTCATTTACAAAATAATGTAACTTAAGTTACTAAAATCATGTAACACCCCAACCCGTATCCGACCCGGATACGAGTCCGACGTGTCACATTGACTTTTCAAACCTTGACTCTTAAGAAAAATCCCGGGAAATTTAAAACTTTATTTAAAACAAAATACAGACTTTATTAGAGTGCTCGTACTTAATGACTTATTACATGCCAACACTTTATACATAACCAAATACATACTTTGTCAAATACTTCTGATCTGATCTTTTAGTAGTGATACTGTCTTTGCCACTTCTATTCTTTCACTTCTCGTTTCTTGGTACCTATGTGTAAATCACTTACACGCTAAGTCATAGACTTAGTGAGGCATATAAAACATATAATATAACCATATATCATTTCATATAAATAAAAGACATACATATGCAAACACTATCAATAATCCTTTCCACTTACCATATACTCATCATATAACACATATATCACTATACCCAGAAAACACACATAACATCATATAATTCATGTATGTGCATTCATATCATTGAATCATGACATATCAATATGCATGAATCTGTTGTATGATAACAATATACAATCAGGTCATGCACACATGCAACTTACCTTCTTGTATCACTTTCACTTTCATTTGTCTTTCAATTTCATTGCTCATGTATATTATTGGGAATAGAGGTATGTGAGTACATTGAGGTTGTGCACTAATGCTGTCACCACAGCTCGTATAAATTCCCTCATGGGGCACCGAACATTCGTTCAGTATTCGTCCCGAAGGACCTATCCAGAGGTCACAAGGAACCTCGATAACTATCCAGAGGTCATAAAGATCCTTGGCAACTGTCCATAGGTCCCAAAAACCTAGGTATACTGTCCATATATTCCTTAGAACATAGGTATACTATCCATATGTCCCGAAAGACATAGGTAATTCTGTCCATATGTTCCGTAGAACATAGGTAAACCCTCGACTCTTGGCATGCCAACTATACCTATAGCTCTCGTATCATATACTATGGGCATTTATTTATACATTTCGTATCACTTATTCTTTCTCTTCTGTCACATACCACATGTATGTGTAACCATATATCTCATATCATATCACATGTATTATATATACATGTATTCACGTAAATCATTTCATGTAATTCATATCACATATATCACATGTGCATATAAGCTTATAGCTTCTTTCACATATACATGTAGTCACATAGCTTTCTTTCATGTAACCATGCATGTCATGTCAAATAACATATATCATATGTTGCATTTTCACTTAAGCATATAAATCATATTTATCTTCCATATTTCATCAAGATTCTTAAAATTAAGAATCTTACTAAACTTTCAAATTTGTTATAAATCTTTTCTAACTTCATAAATCTCTTATTCTTATTGATGACAAGTCAAATTCCATCTTAAAAATCTCTTATTAACTCTTTTCCAGAATTTCCTTTAAAAACTCATTTTCTTTAATCTTTCATAACTTCTTTATCTTTCAATCTTAAGATAACTTAAGCTTTCCTTAAGCTTAGTTATTATCTAATGATCAAAACCCAACCATAAATTTAGCAAATAACCAACTAACAAAGAAACTCACCTTTGCAAGCTTGGCTCTTCACGTTTGAGAGAAGATGAAGATGAAGAAGATAAGTATAAAACTTATCTCTTCAATCATACATCTCATGTATTATAATACCCATTTATTAATATTTAATATTATCTTTGTTCAATGACCATTTTGCCCTTCATCTACTTTAATAATTACTAACAACTTTTAGGAATTATTTCCAAATAAATCATTGAATTATTCCATTATTCTACTTAATTCATCAAATTCTTAAACTTTACAATTTAGTCACTAACCCCTAGTTTGGGATGTTACAATTCTCCCCTCCTTAAGAAAATTCATCCTCGAATTTTCACTTTATAACAATATGAAGCAATCCTTATATACAGTCCTCTTTTATTACTCAATACATATCTCTTTCACTCATGCTATAAACAATCTAACACAACTTATAACACTTATCTTACTTGATTCTTTAAACTCTATCATTCTCATTTCTTTCTCTATTTATTCCTCATTATCAATATTTCCTTATAGCATAACTAAATCATATTCTCGCTTGTCCACGAAGCAAGGAGACTACTCCGTCTAACTTTTCCATATCAGAACAATGAAGTCGATCTAGCATAATCTTTACGTCATTGAGCCAAAAGTCCGCTTCAACAGGACTCTCCTCAACTTCACCTTTGAATTCAGGAGCTCCTAATCCTTTTAAATCTTTTTGCTATATTCCTTCTCGGAGTGGAAGGAGCAGGAGATTGGAAACGCATCAACACCGCGTCTAACGTTCTAAAGAAAACGTCTTGGTCTTGCACAGGCACTCCAGAAAGTGTCTGTCCTTCACCTTGCCTGGCCAGGGTAGGTGAATTACTACCTTCAGCTAATCTATCATTTCCTGCTACGTCTCGGGAGTTGTCTTGTCCAGATATCTGATAAAATACAATCATATCATTCTATTAGCAAAATAGTATACTTACTTTCTATCAGATCAGAAGTTTTCACTATTTCGTTGGCATGTATACTTTTTAAAACACTTTTTACTTCGTTTTTAGCCTAGAATCGGCTAAACCGTAGCTCTGATACCATTAAATATAACACCCCAACCCGTACCCGACCCGGATACGAGTCCGACATGTCACATTGACTTTTCAAACCTTGACTCTTAAGAAAAATCCCGGGAAATTTAAAACTTTATTTAAAACAAAATACAGACTTTATCAGAGTGCTCGTACTTATGACTTATTGCATGCCAACACTTTATACATAACCAAATATATACTTTGTCAAATACTTCTGATCTGATCTTTTAGTAGTGATACTGTCTTTGCCACTTCTATTCTTTCACTTCTCGTTTCTTGGTACCTATGTGTAAATCACTTACACGCTAAGTCATAGACTTAGTGAGGCATATAAAATATATAATATAACCATATATCATTTCATATAAATAAAAGACATACATATGCAAACACTATCAATAATCCTTTCCACTTACCATATACTCATCATATAACACATATATCACTATACCCAGAAACACACATAACATCATATAATTCATGTATGTGCATTCATATCATTGAATCATGACATATCAATATGCATGAATATGTTGTATGATAACAATATACAATCAGGTCATGCACACATGCAACTTACCTTCTTGTATCACTTTCACTTTCATTTGTCTTTCAATTTCATTGCCCATGTATATTATTGAGAATAGAGGTATGTGAGTACATTGAGGTTGTGCACTAATGTTGTCACCACAACTCGTATAAATTCTCTCATGGGGCACCGAACATTCGTTCAGTATTCGTCCCGAAGGACCTATCCAGAGGTCACAAGGAACCTCGATAACTATCCAGATGTCATAAAGATCCTTGGAAACTGTCCATAGGTCCCAAAAACCTAGGTATACTGTCCATATATTCCTTAGAACATAGGTATACTATCCATATGTCCCGAAAGACATAGGTAATTCTGTCCATATGTTCCGTAGAACATAGGTAAACCCTCGACTCTTGGCATGCCAACTATACCTATAGCTCTCGTATCATATACTATGGTCATTTATTTATACATTTCGTATCACTTGTTCTTTCTCTTCTGTCACATACCACATATATGTGTAACCATATATCTCATATCATATCACATGTATTATATATATACATGTATTCACGTAAATCATTTCATGTAATTCATATCACATATATCACATGTGCATATAAGCTTATAGCTTCTTTCACATATACATGTAGTCACATAGCTTTCTTTCATGTAACCATGCATGTCATGTCAAATAACATATATCATATGTTGCATTTTCACTTAAGCATATAAATCATATTTATCTTCCATATTTCATCAAGATTCTTAAAATTAAGAATCTTACTAAACTTTAAAATTTGTTATAAATCTTTTCTAACTTCATAAATCTCTTATTCTTATTGATGACAAGTCAAATTCCATCTTAAAAATCTCTTATTAACTCTTTTCCAGAATTTCCTTTAAAAACTCATTTTCTTTAATCTTTCATAACTTCTTTATCTTTCAATCTTAAGATAACTTAAGCTTTCCTTAAGCTTAGTTATTATCTAATGATCAAAACCCAACCATAAATTTAGCAAATAACCAACTAACAAAGAAACTCACCTTTGCAAGCTTGGCTCTTCACGTTTGAGAGAAGATGAAGATGAAGAAGATAAGTATAAAACTTATCTCTTCAATCATACATCTCATGTATTATAATACCCATTTATTAATATTTAATATTATCTTTGTTCAATGACCATTTTGCCCTTCATCTACTTTAATAATTACTAACAACTTTTAGGAATTATTTCCAAATAAATCATTGAATTATTCCATTCTTCTACTTAATTCATCAAATTCTTAAACTTTACAATTTAGTCACTAACCCCTAGTTTGGGATGTTACAATTCACATCAAGCATTTTTAAAATTATTTTTAAAGTTCATCAAAACTATCATGGCCTATTTCTTTTCATATCCATGGCCTATGTATGGTAGTTATCTGATTGTTCATTAGGTGGGTGATTACTGTTGATTATAATACAAAACCATGTGAGAGGGGGCAGTTTGCTCGTCTTGCATTGGTGGATTTGAGCAAGCCACTATTGCCTTGTCTAGGAATAAATGGCTTTGTTCAAATGCTAAAATACCACGGCTTGCAATAAATTTGCTATCAATGCAGACTTATGGCAATAGCAAGGAATTTTGTGCCTTCTATTCTAATAGCATTGTAGACTAATGCATC